TCTATCTATCTATCTATCTAGCTAGCTAGCTAGCTAGCTAGCTAGCTAGCTAGCTAGCTAGCTAGATAGATAGATAGATAGATAGATAGATAGATAGATAGATAGATAGATAGATAGATAGATAGATAGATAGATAAAATAAGATGATAGATAGATGGATGCCCTGTTTCCCCAAAAATAAGACAGGATCTTATATTAATTATTGCTACAGAAAAAAACGCATTAAGGTTTATTTTCAGGGAATTTTGTTTTTCATGTACAACAATCTACGTTTAGATGATAGATAGATGGATGCCCTGTTTCCCCAAAAATAAGACAGGATCTTATATTAATTATTGCTACAGAAAAAAACGCATTAAGGTTTATTTTCAGGGAATTTTGTTTTTCATGTACAACAATCTACGTTTATGGGTTCATTTTCAGGGAATTTTTTTTCATGTACAACAATCTACGTTTATTCAAATACAGTCATGTCACCTTAATCTGGTTGCTGCACAATTGTGGGGGTGGGCTTTCACTGAACTGGGGCTTATTTTGGGGGTAGGGCTTATATTATGAGCAGATCGATCTGGAATGTAGCAGACCAGGGCGACCCATTTCAGACGAAGTCCTGCATTTGGGGCCCATTGGCCTGCCCGGATGTGAGCAAACAAGGCTATAAAAGGAGGTGTGGAGTTTTCTGTTCTCAGAGTTCCCTGGCCAGCGAGTTACGAGCAACACCGCACGCTTCCATGTTGCCGGGCACTGCTATTTTTTTCTTTACAATTAAAAACAAACCACCATAGGCTGCCTCTTCCGGCCAGGAGCAGTTAAATCTCCTGTTCTGTCCAAGCCGTACCTTAACCGTTTTTTAAAATTATTCTTATTTTTCCGTCCTGTGTTTTTGAAACGCATTGGTTAGAATTGGCTTTGGTGTCTGTCTCTGTTGACATTTGGTGCTTTATGTTTTGTTACTGACCTTTGTATGCAGAAGAGTTTGGAATAAAGGAACTATGTCCCCCCCCCTTTCCTCTGCTCTCAGTACCTTTTGGACAATGAGAAGAGGCTCACCCCCCTGCATCTCAGCAGCATCATCCTGTCACTGGCCCATCTGAATTTTCACCCCAGCAACAGAGAGGCTTTCTATGGCATGGTGAGTCCTTTGTGGTGGTGTGGGTGTCGTGGTTGTGCGCTGCATCCATCTGGATGTGACCTTTGCGTCCCCACTCTCCCGTAGGGAGAACTGCGAACATGGCAGAACCACGAACGTGGGCCATGGAATCGAGACTGGGAGAGATGTCAGTCCAACGGGTTATTAATACCTTGTGCTCAGTGCAGAAACAGAAAAACGATAATACTCGTCCCAATGCAGACTGAATAAAAGAGTCACAGTAATTTGAACAATTGATAAAAGCCATTGGATGGGCCCAGAGGTCTGTCTGACACCTTTCCTGCCTGTTTTCATGTCATGCACTTGGTGGGCCACCAAGCTGCATCTGACGGAAAGCGGTCGTAACAAGAGTCTTCCAAGGACGTGAAGCATTTTAAGGAGTGGTTTTGCTAGCGACACCCTTCTCGTGAGTGTCCGTGGCCAAGCGTGGATTTGAATCCAGTCCCCTAAATCCTGTTCCATCCCTCTGTTGAAGACACCCGATTTGGAACATTTTGTTTTCATTTTAGCAGTCATTCCGTTCAAGTTTCCATGTTACCCAGCCAGTTTTGTGAGTCGGGAGATCTCGGGGTCCCTCCTACTGTGGAGCAGAAGCAGGTGGAACAGAATGGAAGGGAGGGCTTGAAAATGGAAGAGGGGAGAAGCGCGTGAGAATGTTTTATGGTGGATCCAGAGTGTCTGGATTCTGGTTGTGCTTCTTGATGCAAGGCCAGGTTGGCTTCCTCCTTCCCGTGTGTCTGCTGTCAGAGGAGACCATTTCCCTTTAAGCAGGCCAGTTTTCCTGCTCTTGTGTGTATTGCTGAAATGTTTTCAGTCAGTAGTCTTCGGGTACGTTTGTGCATTTAATGACATCTTAATTATTATAGCTTCTCCTCTGTTTAGTGCCTCTTTTTTAAAATAATGTTGTAAACATGCCTGGTTTCCTGCAGCAGGATAAAAGTGGGTTGGACATGAAATGAAACCAACCAGCAGACTTCCAGGCTTCTCTCCCCACCCCACCCCGAGCAGCGTGGCTGGGCCGGTGGCCATTCTGGTTGGGAGATTCCGGGAGAAGCCCTCCAAAATAGTGCTCAGGAATACAGCTGATGCAGAAATGTGACCAGCGTTTCCTCTTTTTGCAGGGCGAGGGACTGTTTTGGTTAGGTGGGGTTTTGAAGGCGAGGGCGCGCAGCCTTCCAGTGCTGAGTGTCTGGTTTTACGTCGCATCCGTTACCCAGGGCCTTGCTGCAGTGTGGCGCTGAGGTTTCTCTTCCTGGTGCTCACGCTCTCCTCTTTTCCAGATTCACAGAGGGCTGGAGAACCACCTGGACAGTCTGGATCCCGACCTGCTCTTGGACCTGGTATGGTCCCTTTGCATACTGCAGCAAGCAAACGCTGCCCACCTGCAACGCGTTCTGGAGCCCAAGTGCCACCTTCAGTTCTTAAGTACGAGGGCATCCTGTCCCGAGGGCCCCAGGGAGGAGGGGGGCGGTCAAGATCCGAAGGAAGAGGCAGACAGTGGCGTTGTTGGCCAGACCCTTGCTTCTTCTGGCATCCAGCAGAGACGTGGAATTGACCAACAGCCACGAGAGGGCGCTGCTTCCCAAGGAAATAAATAGTATTTGGGGCAGAGCTTATGACATCCCCAGGACTCCTGGGCTTTTTCTGGGGCAGAGGTTGGAGAAGGTACCTCTCCTCCCCGGGGCAGCTGCACCCAGAGGCCCCCTCACTGCACTGGACTGGAGGGATTTTTTAAAAACAGAGGCGGGTTGGCATTTGCTGGGATTCAGTGACGTCGTTTCCCTCCCTTCTCCCCTCCCACGTTTCTCTTGCAGGCGATCAGAACACAAAGAGGCCGAACCATCTCGTCAAACTGATCCAGATCAACGCCACGGCCCGGCTGGAGTGTGCGGACTACAAGGGGCCTTTCCTCGCTAAGGAGATCCTGGGCACCAAGGAGCGACAGGCGAAGAGGATGCCCACCCCTCTGCAGACCGACCTGAAAGAAGTGCTGAAGTCCGTGGCAGGAAATGACGCCCACGTGCGCTTCGAGGTGGACCTTCTCTCGGGCTGGCTCCTGGGTGAGACCCCCTCGCTCGGTCCCTCGGTGGGGCCGGCTGAGGCGAGTTTGGCCCCCAGACTCTCACACACCCTGGATTATGCTTGGCTACTCAGGGAACCCAAAAGGCTCCATCGCCCAAATGTCACCATCATCCACCACTTTGCAGAGGCTTTGTTTTTTTAAAATCAGAAGGAGGTTTTCCTGATGTTCAACCAAAATCTAGCTTCCTATCATTTGAGCCCATGGTTGCGTGTCTTGCACTCTGGGAAGATCGAGAGCAGATCCTGCCCCCCCCTCCCCTGGAGGACAGCCTTTTAAGGATTTGGAGACGTGCTGTCCTCCTCTCCCCTTCTTCAGGCTAAACTTTTCTTAAGGATTTTCCTTCTCGTTGCCCTCCGCTGAACTTGCTCCGATTTGTCAGCCTCCTTCTCGAATTACAGTGCCTGGAAATAAAATGGTTTTCAGAAGGAAACCAACCCCCGGCCTCTCGAGGTTGTGGGGGAAATCATGCTTGCCATGATGTGGCTCTCCACCCCTGGTTGTCTTTCGCCCAAAAGGAACCATTGTTTTAAGAACCGGGAAGTGATTAAAGCATTGGGGTTGGGCTGGGCTGATAACCCTCTGGGCCACCTGGGTGTAGAACCCAGAGGCTGGGCTGTGCCCACCCCGGTCCCGACTCCCCCCCCCTTTCTGGCAACCTTGTTAGATTTTAAGTTCACCTGCTCCAGGGGTAGTGTGTGTGTGTGTGTGTGTGGGGAGCCAGACCCACGTGATCGCCCCCCCTCCGTGGGATGCAGGGGAGAAAAATTTAATACCAGCACCTATCTTGTGTCATCTCACGTGCATGGGGAGTCGGGGGGGGGGCTGGCCAGTTCAGAGCTGCCTTGCCTAGATTCCTGGGCCACATCACACAAGGGGGCTTCGTTCCCCTTTCAGCGGGGGAGTCCAGTCTCAGAGCTGACCGTCTTGGGCCCTTTTTCAGACGCGGTGATGGTGCTGGATGCTGAAAACCAGCCTTTGCCTGTCACAGACGCTGTGATTCCCAGCCTGTCCCAGTCGAAGCCTCTTCCTCCCTGGCCCAAAAGGTGAGTCTTGGGGGCTTTAGGGACACACGTACCTGGTGACACTCCTGGGGTTTGCAGGAGAACTCTCACCCTACCAAAACCAGGAGCCTTGATGCTGTGCGGGGCAGCAGCTGGCTGTGGGATAGGGCGAGCCGTTTATTTATTTAGTGAATTGAAATATTTCTAAACCCCCACCCCCCACTTTCTCCATATAAGGTCCAAAGCCATCTTACCTTGTTAAAAGGGTTTACAGTCCAGCATACCTGGGCACTAGGTTGGGAGGGAGAGAACATCTCAGAGATGCATTCTTGCTGTCATTGGAAGAGCCATCTGGGTTGTCCCCCAGCTCCCCCAAAATCCGCCCTCCCAGGTTTGGGAAATGCTTTATCCACTGCCCTGCAGTTTCAGAGAGGCAGCCGGGACACAGACCTTCTTAGAGGTGCTGGGGTCACTGGCCCTTCTGTCGTCCGGAGAGATGCTTCTCGGAAGAGGCGAGGGGTGGGTGGGAAAGGCGGAAACCGGGGTGTCTCTCCACCAACGGCCACCCTGTTCCGTTCCCTCTGTTTCAGGCTGGCCTTCCTCAGGTGGGAGTTCCCGAACTTCAGCAACCGGAGCAAAGAGCTGCTGGGCCGGTTCGCCATGGCCAGGCGGCACATCCAGGCGGCCGGTTTCCTGGTGGTTGATGTGAGTCCCCTTGAGGCCGTCCTCAGAGCGCTGGAATCAGCGGAAGAGCTTGGTGGCCCGCCATGCTGTGCGTTGTGGGGTGGGACTGGTCTGCTCCCGAGTCCCTGTGGAGCTGCAGAGGGGAGCCTGGACGGTTGAAGGTCAAGGTCAAGCCAAGGCCAGGGCTGACAAATCCAGTTGGTGGGGGTGGTGGTGGGGTGTGTGTGGGATTTCCAGTAACCACGGAGTCGGGCTTCAGGGCTTTGTCCAATCTGCTGCATGGCCCATTGCTCTAATCCAGGGGGGGTTCCCAAACCCGAGTTCGCAAATGATGGTGGTCAGGAACTCCCCCCCCCCCC